CGCAGACGTGTCCACGCGAAATCACCTTCGCGGTCGGAAGAAAACCTACGCGCTGGACGAAATTGAACGGCGGATCAAAGCAACACCCCTTCGTCTTCGATAAACGTACCGGAGCCTCGCCGCCCACACTGGTTTATCTACATGGACCATTTGGAACTATATCAAGCAGCGGTGGATCCTCAAGCGTACCTGCTGGACACGGTCGGCGCTCAAGGAACACCACAAGCAGGCGCGATTCAACCACTGCAAGTTTTTCACGTCAGACCTAGGTAACGAGAGCCATTTTGAATTGTTTAACGTCGTCCACGTGGACGAAAAGTGGTTCTATATCACGAAGTTTCGTCGTCAATTCTACATGTGGACCGACGAGGAAAAGCCTTCAAGACGTCAACTCCAAGGTAAGTCGCACATCACTAAGGTGATGTTCTTGGTTGTCGTCGCAAGACCACGCTATGGGTGGGACGGCAAGGTGGGATGCTGGCCGTTCTTGCGCTCCACGGCTGCGAGGAGGAAAAGTGTCAATCGACCGGCGGGGACTATTGTCTACGAGCCTGTGTCAGTCACAAGAGATGTGTATCGGTCATACCTCGTCGACAAGGTCATTCCCGCACTCAAGCAATAGTGGCGCCCCTTCAGTTACGATGCCCCGCCGACGATCTTCGTGCAACAAGACAACGCCAAGTCTCACGTCGCGCCGGACGATGTTTCCGTGGTCAGCGCTTGCATGTCGGGTGGTTGGGACATCAGGGTGCTCAACCAGCCGGCCCAATGGCCCGACATGAACGTTCTTGACCTCGGCTTTTTCAACACTATTCAAGCACCTCAGCAACGAATGGAATGCTCGTCCATTGAAGACCTGGTGTGCGTCGTCGAGCAGTCTTTTGAAGACTTGGCGCCGTCGACGCTGGACAAGACCTATGGGACTCTGCTTCGTGTGTTCCAAGCGTGCCTAGGTGTGGAGGGCAACAACACTTACGACATGCCACGAAGCAAACGACAGAAACAAGCGGAATGTGATGATTCTATTGTTCTCGACATGCTCAAGCTTAGGCTGGGAGGAAGAAGATCGTCTCGATGAGCTGTGCAACCTGGTCAATGGCTTGTCTGCTTCGTAGAAAGTAAAAAAATTCAGATTCTTTGTACTGCTTTTGTGTATTGAGGAGAAGATTCACTTGCAACTTTTGCCAAACAGAGTAGTATCATGTGGATTGAGAGCATCACTGCCTGGATTACACATGGGCTTTAGACGGTATCCTTAAAAATACTTGAGAAGGTAAAATTTTGGGGTGCGTCTATAATTTCTTGTCAGACTCTATGATTGCGTTGGAAGCGGACCGACCTCAAACAGAACCCGAAGGCAAGCAAGCTCCTCTAGAAAAATATTTTCAAGTATATCCTCTGCCCAGTGCGCCACGGGAGTTGAACGCGGTCCCATCAGAGTCGATAGACTGGACGGACGAAATGCGCTCTCCACATTTTGATTAGGTCAAATAGTTTCGTCGCCCACGGCGGGGTAGGGCCACCGGTCTACGTCAAGTTAGGAGGTTCATTCGTCCACGCCAGGTCGGACATATCGCCTTGGTTGGTGCATAATAAGTTTACGCCACACATCGTGCGAGGTACACACCTGAAAAAAAGGAACTCGCGAAGTGTCCAGGGCACATGGAAACGTGAGGTCACTATCTCTCACGACTCAATGGATACACTAAACTTCCCCACCTTTATCTCGTTGACATCAGTCGAATCGATCGTGAAATGCTAAGGGCTTGAATGTCGCTGGTACAGTCCGATGCAAAATGTTAG